TACTTTGTAATAGCCCTGGATAATCACCTATTCCTAACCTCGTGTTGCCATTTATAAAAGAATAATGATTTTGATGCAGATCCTTACTCATTTTTATGCAGCTGCATAGCGAAATTATAAATTACAGGACTAACCAACATGTTATATTAACCAGAGTAATAATAGTTGTAATCCAACACATTTGGAGGAAGATAGTAATAGTAATAAAGTTGGAAGGAACCTTGGAGGCCATCTAGTCCAACTCTCTGCTCAGGCAGGAAACCCATTTCAGACAAATGGTCGTCCAGTCTCTTCTTAAAAACTTCCAGTGATCTAGTAGTAGTGCTCTTACCAGTATTTATATCACAAAACATAAAACTATCATTAGAAAAAAGCTGCACAAATTATATCTACATGGGTCACAGAAACGAATGACGTATGTTAATTCTTTGTTGAATAAATCACGGCAAAAAAAATTTTCAATTTTTTCAGTTATATCACTTTTATTTTATCTTTATGTTTGAATGAAAATAAAATATTAAAATATATCGTCTGTATATCTTAAAAAATAAAAAAACTTTACATCGTGTGAACCTACTCTTTCATATGTTTGTAAGCTGATTGTGTTAAGTTCTGGAATGTTCTTAAGAAAATAGGAATCTCAACACTTCTCACGGTCCTCATGTTAAATGTAAACAAGTATAGGAGACCACAATCTAAACATGGTGAAAGCGACTGGCTGCAGGTTGGCAATAGAGTGAGACAACCTTGTATATTTTCTCCTTATTTTGGAAGGAGCAGAACTGAAAGAAGATTCTAAGTTTGAAAAATGCTGTGCATTTCTGTAACAAAATTTCATGGCTGAAATTAATGTCTGGCATTCATATTTGAAGTTCAATATTCTGATTCATGTGATCCAGATCTGTGCAGTGACTTAATTCTTATTGTTTCATAAGAATTTCTCATTGTTACTTGTTTACATGCTTTTCATTTCTTTTATTTTATTGGTGTAATCCTTTTTATTATTGTAAGCCTCCTAGAATAGCCCCAGGGCAAGATAGGTAGCAAATAAATTTAACAAATAAAGAAATAAGAATAAAACCTATAGCAGTGGTGGCGAACCTATGGCACGCGTGCCAGAGGCGGCACTCAGAGCCCTCTCTGTGGGCATGCGTGCCATGCCCCGGAGATAGCGAGGGACTGGCCCCCACCACCCTGGCCCCATCCACCCAGTCTGCCATGACCACTGCGGCCAGGCCCACCCGGCACCCAGTGATAAATAAGTGGGTTTTGGGTTGCAGTTTGGGCACTGGGTCTCTAAAAGGTTCGCCATCACTGACCTATAGGTTTAGGAAGCAATAAATTATTTAGCCTCTAAATGTATTGTATCATAGTATTGTTGTGAACTTCCCAGTGGTATTTTTTACAGGTTGGGTGATTAGATAAACTTTATAAAGAAATAAACAAGTAAATAATTTCCTAAAGTTCATGACTTCTTATTTCTTCTAAGAGATTTCTTAGATTTCTATGCCTTGCTGACTTTATATTGTCAAAACCCTTTTAATCTAATATGTTGATTAAATGAATTTGGAGCCAGTAAGTATAAGAATGACCATTTTAGGTCAAGCTTCTAAAAGAATAACATTTTAATTTCATTTACTGAAGAACACTGGAATGTTTCAGTGTATTAACAAAATTTCAGAATACTGCCATGTAGATTGTATATGAACCTCTTAAAGATATTACTGGTTCTATCCTGTGGGTATTAGTATTAGTATTGCTACCTTAAGTATTTTTAACTGTTGTTGACAGAGGAGGAAAAATGAAAGAAACTAAACATCTAGTTCAAAACATCCCACTACCAAAAGCAATGGATGATTAGTTATTTTGATTCCTCTTTTTTCATATCTCATTTATCACAAATTTGAGCTCTTTTTTTGGCATTGCTTAGGTAACAAGCTCTAATAGTAAGAGAAAAATGGACTTTCCTTTTTAAATAGCCAAGTCTTCCATCAATGAGATTATGGTTTAGACTTTATATTAAAATATTCCTTCATTGTAAGACTTTTAACTAATCTCATTCCGTTATAAAATTTGAAAGGACAACAAATTGAGTTCTGGTTCTCTAAATTTGTTGTCTTTATTATAATCTCCCTTTCCTAACCTGCTCCCTGCAGGATGAAAAACTGTGACATTAAATACTGAGGGGTGGGGGGTGGGATTTCCTACAGGGTTTCTGCCTTGCTGAAAAAAAGCCCTGTCAAAGCCCTTTTAATCTAATCCAAGACAGAAAGACTGCAAGTGTCACAAGTTCAAGAGGAAAAGGATTTAGAATGCTATTACGCATTAAAGAATCCTGATTAGGTGAAGGTCAGATCATCTTTCACTATCAATCTTGGCAAAAATTACTACTCATGATGTGTCCTTGTATATTAGAAATGCTTTGAGTAAATATTTGGTCCAGTGGTTAAACGGACCAGACTTGAAAGTGGGAGATCGTGAATTCTAGTCATGCCTTAGCCATGAAAGCCAGCTGGGGCTTGGACCAGTCCATACTCTCTCAGCCTGACTCACGTCACAGGGTTGAGGTGGGGAAAATAGGAGGATGAAGGAGTTTGTCGCCTTGAGTTATTTATAAAAAAATAAAGATGGGATGCAAGTAAATAAACCACTCTTTATAAAAATAAGTTTTTAAAATATAACCAGTGTATTTTAATAAAACTTTGTTTCTGATTAAATCTTAATATCAATATTTCTAGAAAAAAGGCTGTAGAAAAGATATAAAACTGCTTTATACAGAATCTGACATTTAGAGTTGTCAAGTCCCTGAATAATTTGGTCACTTCTTCTTGATCCTTCTTTAAGGAAATATAATAATAATAATAATAGTAAAGTTGGAAGGGACCTTGGAGGTCATCTAGTCCAACCCCCTGCTCAGGCAGGAAACCCTATACCATTTCGGACAAATGGCTGTCCAGTCTCTTCTTAAAAACTTCCAGTGTTGGAGCATTCACCACTTCTGGAGGCAGATTGTTCCACTGGTTAATTGTTCTCACTGTCAGGAAGTTTCTCCTTAGTTCTAGGTTGCTTCTCTCCTTGATTAGTTTCCACCCACTGCTTCTTGTCCTGCCTTCAGGCGCTTTGGAAAATAGCTTGACTCCCTCTTCTTTGTGGCAGCCCCTGAAATATTGGAACATTGCTATGATGTCCCGCCTCGTCCTTCTCTTCATTAAACTAGACATACCCAATTCCAGCAGCCGTTCCTTATATGCTTTAGCCTCCAGTCCCCTAATCATCTTTGTTGCTCTTCTCTGTACTTTTTCTAGAGTCTCAACATCTTTTTTACATCGCGGTGACCAAAACTGGATGCAGTATTCCAAGTGTGGCCTTACCAAGGCATTGTAAAGTAGTATTAACACTTCACGTGATCTTGATTCTATCCCTCTGTTAATGCAGCCTAGCACTGTGTTGGCCTTTTTGGCAGCTGCAACACACTGCTGGCTCATATTTAGGTGATTGTCTACTAGGACTCCGAGGTCCCTCTCACAGTTACTACTATTGAGCAAGGTGCCACCTATGCTGTACTTGTGCATTTGGTTTTTCTTGCCTAAATGTAGAACCTTGCTTTTTTCACCATTGAATTTCATTTTGTTAGATAGTGCCCAGTGTTCAAGTCTGCCCAGATCCTCCTGTATCTTAAGCCTGTCTTCTGGAGTGTTGGCTATTCCTGCCAGCTTGGTGTCGACTGCAAATTTGATGAGTTCCCCATCTATCCCCTCGTCCAAATCGTTGATGAAGATGTTGAGGGTCAGTGCAGTGCAAGATTACTTTTTGCAATAGAAACATCATTAAACTATCATCCCTAGTAATATGATATAATGGTCCATCTCTTCAGTTCAAAAGTCAATTTAAAAAGAAAAACAACATCGACATGCTTGATTAACACTCGGTGCAGCATAAAATATGACATAGGTTAAAATATGCAATTTAAAAAAAATCAGATATAGTTTCCCTGACTTTAGTTGGTCTCTTTCTATTCCCCAGAGCACGTTCTTTGGCTGTTATGCTTCTGTTTCCCTTCGGTCATTTCATATTTCTAACATGGACTATTTACTCCTTATAGTTTAAAGATTTATCCTGCGAATTCCTTCTCAGTTGCTTTTGAGCTGCTTTTGGGAAAAGTATATGAATTTCTGGAATTGATTGCATTTTTGCCTTCTTATTACCAATTTGATTTTTAGGAATATCAAATATAAGCTTGAGATAATGTATGGAAGAATCTATGAAAATTTAATTTCTTAAAGTAATTATGACTAGATGATACCTCAGATATTATTTGTTGGGTTTAATTAATTTGGATATAGGGCTGTGCAATGCTTTAAATTTGCTATGGAAGAGGTGCTTTAGAACTTCCACTAACAAATGTATCACTTGACTCCAACTCATTAAAGCAAGGATATATGTTTCCAGGATCATGTGGCCACAGCAGGGAGACTTCATATGTGTGAAGATTTCTGCATATGTGTGAAGATTTCTGTTACAGCCTTGCAATCCTGGAAATATATGTATCTGTTATAATGAGTTGTAACAAGCTAATGAAATAACTATTTTAAAATTTTGTTCATTTCTTACCAAACTGTAGTTTAAACAGACCTTGAAGTTGAAAAAGATTATTTTGTTTTTATGATGTTATATTTATTATATTTTGTTTTGGAAATTGAGATTGTAAAATGCTTGAATTGTAACTCTTCTGAGTATAAAATTATATTCTAATTAAATATTTACTTTGCTCAAAACTAAATGCCATTAATTTTAATAGAACTTGGTCAGAAATCAGTAAATAGTATAGACATTTACCACAAAAGTTTTAAATTATCAAAATAGTTCTTCTGCTGAATTAAAAGTTTAAACACTTAGGTATAAAATTATTCCAAATACTATTTTACTGATGTTAAACTTATGAGTGGTTGTTCATTTCCCTAATATATATATTTTCTTTTTCCCCCCTTTTGTTTCCTCAGGAAAAGAGGGATAGAGGTTATACAGGTGAGTGCATTATGTTTGATTTCTATTTTAATGGTTATGTTTATGCTTGCATGGCATCAGTCTCTTCTGATCTTTCTTTCTAACACATATAAAATCATTGATATAAAATGATAAAATCATTAACACTAAAAGTTGAATAAAGGGAGTCCTTGACTTATAATCAGGCGTTTAACAATTGTTCATAGTTTTACCGTGGCCTTGAAAGGGGTGCTTCATGGCCTGTAAAGCACTTCTGTAAAATGTTGCTCCCCTGCCCTCAGCCACCTGACTGCATTTTGGGCACTTGGCAATTGGCTCATGTTTATGACCGGTTGTAGCATGTCACATTCATGTGATCACAATTTCCAACTTTCATGCCGGTTACAACCACATGATACACTTAATGACCACCATAAAAATGATGTTTGGTTTTGTGGGAGCTTCAACATATGACTGTTGTGAGTTACAAGCAACATTCTGGCCCCAAATGTGATTGTAAGTTGAGGATTAGCTGTAGTTTATGAATTTTTATAAATAATAATTGCATATATGGATAACCTCAAATATTGTTCTATTTAAAATTGCCCTTGGTTTCCTTGGTAGATTTGTTATTTGTGTTACAAAAGAACAACAATTCCAATTCGTACAGTGTGGCAGATGGAAGCCATTTGGTTTTCGCTGAATCTAGCAATGTTTCATATAGAGAAGGAGAAGTATGAGGGCTTTAATTTAATTGACGTTGTGTATTTTCACTTCCTTCAATTTTTATGCAAATCAAATCCGTGCTTTAACTTTTCAAATGCAAGATAGACCATTTCAAATCCCTGTAATTCTCTGGTATGTTATGTCTGTTTCCTTCTTTTCCTGCTTTCCTCTATAATTTAGTAATGAAATCTGATGTCAACTTATATTTATCAGTATTGCACAAATTGGAGACCAGAAGGGGAATTGAGCTTTGTATACTGTGTAGTAACCCTTGCATTTCTAATACAGATAGTCCTTGAGCGACAACCATTTGAAATTATGATAGCGCTGAACAGTAGTAGTTAGAATCAGTCCTCAGAGTTCCAGCCTCTGCAGTCACATGATCATGATCTGGACACTTGGCAATCAATTTGTACTTACAACTGTTTGCAGCACCACATGATCACTTCTCTGCTGGCTTTCCCAGAAAGTCAGTGGGAAGCTGGCAGGGAAAATAGCAAGTCAATGCAATAAATCACCTACATCCATGCACCCTCCCCCAGCCTTTCCGAGCTCGTGCCATACAGCCACTCATGTACCCTTACCATAGCTGCCTCATATCCCGTGCACCCTTTCCAACTCATGCTTCACCCTTATGCACCATCTGTCAGGCACCCTCCCTGAATCATGCTTCTCATGCAACCCCATGCACCCTTTCTGATCCCACCATGCCTCTCACACACCATCTTACACTCGCCTAGACTCATGCAATTCATCTCAGGCACCCTCACAGAACTTCCCCAACCTGCACTTCTTACATATCATGCTGCACCCTCCAGACCTTCACTGTGCCTCTCATATATTCCTTCACTTCCTCGCACACCCATCCTAACTTATGCCTCTCACACATTCTCCGTGACCATCCCCTCCAACCCCGCTTACATTTTCCCTATCTCTTTGCGCTCATGACATGCTAGCCATTTGCATACCCTCCTCACCCTCATTGTGCCTCCCTTGCTTTATAATCACATCACTTAGTGATGAAAATTCCAGTCCCAATTGCCATCATAATCAAGGGCTACCTATACTGCCCAAATCCATTCAAAGTCTTTAAGGAGACACGCCTTGCAAAAAATAGTACAAAGTGAAATAGTGACCAAGTATTTCATTCTAATATAAATATCTTCAAACATATACCGTATATGCCGCCGTATTAGGCGACCCGGCGTATAAGACGACCCCCATCTTTATAGCCGGGCTGCATTCCTAGAACGTCGTCTTATACGCCGGAAACTACCAGTATTTCCGGCATATAAGACGACTCGGCGTATAAGATGACCCCCGTCTTTGGCGCCGATTTCAGCGCTCGCGGAAGTCGTCTTATACGCCGGCATTTACGGTATATATTTGGTGCCTCATAGATCATTGTTTTTACTAAGAATTATCTTGTGACATATGCATTAATTGAAAACTTTGATATTTATCTGAAGTTGAGCAATGGTGAGATAGTGTCTCTATGATGAAAATTTCTATCTAGACACATGTCTAATACAAAGCAAAAGAGTTGGAAGAGACCTTGGAGATCTTCTAGTCCACAGGTCGGCAAACTTCTCCTGCAGCTCCCAGCTTCCTCTGCCATTTGCAAAGAGAGAGACAGAGACAGAGAGAGGCACTTCCCCCCCCCCTCTCTCAGAGAGAGAGCGAGAACTCATGTGCAGAAGCCTCTATTTCTTTTTAATTAAACTCTTCAATAAGCTCCCCACTTCTTGCATGCGTGCATGCGTGCACAGGTTTTGCAACTCCTAGTGTTTTCTTTTCTCTGGGTACAAGTGGCTCTTTGAATGTTTAAGGTTGCAGACCCCTGTTCTAGTCCAACCCCCTGCTCAAGCACAAATCCCTATTCCATTCTGGACAAATGGCCGTCCAAACATTTCTTAAAATCCTCCAGTGATGAAGCACCCACAACTTCTAGAGCAAGCTATTCCACTGATTTAATTGTTCTCACTGTCAAGAAATTTCACCTTAGTTCTAGGTGGGATCTCTTGATAAGTTTCCATCTGTCACTTCTTGTCCTGCCCTCAGATACTTTGGAGACCCCCCCTTCTCTGTGACAGTCTTTCAGATATTGGAAGATTGCTATCATATCACCCCTAGTCCTTCTCTTCATTAGACTAGATATACCCAGTTCCTATAACTATTCATCATATGTTTTAGCCATCAGCCCTCTAATAATCTTTGTACCTGTTCTCTGCACTCTTTGATTTCTCTGATTGGCAGTGCCTCAAAGTTTTTAATTTCATTGGCACTAATAGAAAGTGATAGTGACATAGTTCTGACAGACAGAGACAAATAAAGCAGAACTCCGAGGCTTGCAAATTCCTCAAAGAACATGCTTATTGATACAAAGTATTGGCACTTCAAAAGTGAAACCAAGTCTGAAAAGATGCATAACATTTCCCCAATACAAAGTTAAGAAATCCCACCCCTAAGGCTATGCAAGCAACTATGTTTCCTTGTTGCGGGCTCTTCATGAAACGCCCAGCCCGCAGTCTCTGGAGCAGTCCTTGGTTCCCATGAGAGAAAATCCGAGAGAGAAAGTTGTTTTGTCTAGCGCATCACCTGGCAACCCCCCTCCCTCTGTGCTATGTGTCAACTAGAAATGAGAAGGAAAAAATGGCTGCAGCCATGCTCATTCTAAAGTTGACAGATAGCTTTTACTATAAGAATTAAGTAGCTTGCCTTTTGTAATTTTGAAATTCGAAGCACTGCTGATACTTCAAAACAGAACATTTAATGTTTCAAAATACACCTAATAGTTACAAGGGCATATGAAAGAGAAATTTATATTTATATCTGAAATTACTTCAGGAATCCCCAAAATTCTTGTGGCCTGATTTGCTGTAGGAAATAAAATGTGGCCGATCTGCATAGTGAGTTGGTCCATTGAAATGTCTTGCAGGTAGATTAATGCATACTTTATAAAATTGATTTTGCTTAGAGCAATCTCCTGCCTCCCATATGTGTTAGGCTGCTGGATGGAAAGGACAGGAATTGTAGTCCACTATATCCTGAGGGTACCACACTGAAGAAGATTGAATTAAAGAATTCAAAATGGTGTTCATATAATGAGGATTCAGGAGTACCTTAGCTTTAAAGTGCTTGCACTAGCCTAGATTACATTGTAAGCAAATCAACCTTTGTGATTGTTATGTGTGAATCGGATTGGATGTTGAAGAATCTGTAACTTGTATTCTATGTCTGGGGAAATACAATCCCCTTTAAAAAAATTATTTAAAATATTAGTATAGTCATTCTTGATCTAAACAAGGGCTAGTTCCACACTGGAGGCAGCTGCTGAATTGATGGCAGATTCCATCGCTATCTGCTGTCCATCCAACCATCTTTTGTTATCATATTGATGTATTCTTGTTGTTTTCTTTTTCATTGTTTATTTCATTGTTCTATTATTTTACTTCTGTTTTGTTTACATTCTTTTAATTTCTTCTTTTTATTGTAATAAGCCACCCATGGTAGACCTACGGTGAAAAATGTGGCAAATAAATGTAACAGATAAATACATAAAGTATATGAATGATGCAATTCTAAAACATTTATGGTCAGAACAATATTAGGATTTTTTTTTCTTCAGTTGTTGCCCTGATGACCTTGATGCATATAAATAATAGTTATAATCAGATTAGAAGTAAGCAATCCCCCAGAGAGCATTAAAAAGGTAGAAAACCTATTGTAAAAAAATAATCAAAATGTGGTACAGTACATATTACAAGAAATGAAAATGTAAAACATCTTGAAAGCAAATTTTGTTTCTAGACAAAATAATTTAGTGGAATTTTACATCTATAACTTCAATAATTCTGGATGGGTAGTTGATCACTTAATATTGTTATAATATTAACATCATAATATTAGGTCAAAATGTATTAATGGTAATTATTCATATAACAAGAATTCCCAATATACAGGGATTCTTTTTTAGCAGCAACAAAAATAGCCAATTACTGCCTTAAACTCTTTCAGACATTGTTTTCTTTTTTTCTTAATTAGTGTGATATCTGAACCTATCCCAAGGAACAAAGCATGGTTTACAAACTAGAGAATGGATGAATACATTTTGGTGCCCAAGCAAACGTTGCTTAATATGACATCATCGTGTAATCTTAATTTAGGATATGTACTTAGAAAATGATATGTATAGATTAATTAAAAATTATTGTATTGTATATGAAAAACTCAAGATAGGGGAACATATTTGTCAAAAAATTCTTTGGTCCTTTCATAATAAACACAAATGTACATTAATACATGAAGTTTATATC